TTTCACATTATTAATCTGATTTACTCAAATCCTGGTGGGGTCATAATTTCTTTAATGGTTTACAGTTCTCAAAGTGCCTTCACATCATTATCTGAGATATTCAGAGAAATTAAATGACTAATTATGGGTGACAAAGCAGGTGGAATCAGGTCTGGAACTCATGCCCTCTCATTAGTAGCACAATAGTTTTAACTGTATGTTCAAGCTTCCGGCTTAAGAAACTATTTGCTTTTTTTTCTTTCAAATCTGTAGCCAAAAGATGAAATTTCTCCTTTAAAAAACTAGTCTCCAGTTCTAATGACGTAAGGAAAAGGAGGTACAACTAACTCTTCTCCCTTTCTTCATTTCTCCCAAAACTGTTCTTGCCTTACCTTACAAGAAACTCTTCGTCACTTGTTGCTCTCATATTTCCTATTTCATATTTTATAGGCCAAGAGGCCTCCGCTGTGGGAACAGTGGCTGTATGAATTGTTTTCTTAACACTGTCTAAAGGTCTCCTCCAAGGTGCATACTCTAATTTTTCTAAAGGCAGTCATAACAAGGGTCTAAGCAAAAATTAATGACATTAATATAAAAATCCTAGAAAAATTAAATAAACAAAAAACAAAGAGACAAAACCTACAATGAGAGGAGAAATACTGATGAAAAACACTTTTAAAACAGTGCCCAGGAAAATCTTAGTGAGTATAACATACAGTTTGTGCATTTACTCCATCATCTATGAGCATTTATGACATGTAAAGTTCTGTGCTAGCAATGGGGAAGGAAATGGGATTACAAAGGAAAAAAAAACTGGCTCTTGTGTTCAAGGAGTTTGTAATTTACTGGCCGAGACAGACAATGTACAACTATCAGTGAAGTGATACAAAGGTATAAACAGTGTGTAATAGGAGAGGTACTAACGTCTCAGGCATTTTTGTATGTTCTGCCTTGAGAGCAGGTCTTACTACCAAAACCACTGCTGTAGAGTCGATTCCGACGCATAGCAACCCCACAGGACAGAAAAGAACTTCCCCACAGGGTTTCCAAGGCTGTAATCTTTACGGAAGCAGACTGCCGTACCTTCCTCCTGCGAGTGGCCAGTGGGTTCGAGCCACCCACCCACCTTTCAGTTAGCAGCCTAGTGCTTTAACCACTGCACCAAGGTCTTATACCCCTATCTTAAGTCTTGATTTTACCTCCAGAAATATCTCTGAGATGTGTCTTTTTCTTTCCCATAGTCTTTGCAGCTGGTCAGATCCATGTCAACTCTCACTTGGACTATTCCACAGTTTAACATCTCAACAATTTAGAAAGAAATATTTATTGAGTACATACTATCTCAGGCACTAGAGATAAAACAGGGAATAAAACAGTCTCTACTACCCTCAAGGGACTTACAGCTTTATGAGAAAGACTACTAAAGAGGGAATAGCAATAAACTCTGCTATGAAGAAACACTCCTCTCTTACCTCACTGGCGGCTTTCTCAGGATCCTTTACTGGCTTTTCCTGCCCTAAGCTTTCTTTTCGTTTTCACAGCCTCTCCCTAAGAGGTCTCAATCGTTAATTACCATGACTTTAAATATCCTTTTAGATTGGTGATTTTTAAGTTTATCTCTTGGGCCCTGCTTGACCTCTACTCTCAGCTCCAGATTTGAATATCCCAGCTTCCTGTCTGTCTCACAGACATCTCAAGTTTCAATAGGTGAAAAACCTATTAAATAAAGGTTCTTAATTTCCTCCCAAACCTTTCCCTTTGATTTTCTCTGTCTCAATAAATGGCACTATTGTCCAACCAGTAACTCAGGCCAGATACTTAGGAATCATCCTTCCTTCCTTCCCCTCTCATCCCACATCATACCCATTAGTAAGTCCTGAGTCTATTTCCATATCTAGCAACTATCATTCACTCTTCCCCCCTCATATAGTCTACCACCACCTTAATTCAGATCACCCTCATCTCCTGTTTATGCTGCTCCATTAGCCTCTCAACTGAACCATCTGGTCCCTTTCTCCAGACTCCTCTCATACAGTTGTCCTCCCTCAGTATGTTCCAGCATCTCTGGTCTGGTCTTATGTTCTTGAAAACTAAGATGCCTAGCTCTTTCCTGATTCAGGGCCTTTCCACATTCTTTTCACTCTGTTTGGGACGTTCTTTCCTGTCTTTAATGGCTGAATCATTCTCATATTTTAGGTCTCAATTTAAACATCAACTCCTCAAAGAGGCCTTCCCACACCAACCTAAGTCAAGTAAATTCCCTGTTATTCTCCTTCTTAAGTCCATCCATAAAAGATAAGTTCCATTAGGACAGGAATCTGTCTATCTTGTTCACCACTGTATTCCTAGTACCTAGCAGTTCCTGGCACAGAGGAGACAAATACTTAAAAACTATCTGCAGAATGAATAAATAAGTACTGGGTGCTTTTTGACCCAATCTCGCAGGGTAAAAGAGAGGCTTCTTAACCTAAAAGGCTTTGTAAGCAGGCCTAAGGAATGAATGAGAATTGGTTAGGCTGGGAGTGGGGCTAAGTCTGGAGGTGAGAGGAAGGATGGTACATTTGAGGGACTGAAAAGACATTCTGTATGGCTGGAGCCTACAGCTATACTGGTGGAAAACAAAGTTGGTGAGGCAGGCAAAGGACAGACAAGAGGGCCTGTTCAACTTGTTAAGGAGTTTTGACTTAACCCTGACAGCAAACAGGAGTGACTGTAAGGTTTTAAGTAGGGAGTGTCCTGGTCAGAATTACACTTTATCAGCCTAGCCGTGTGAAGACTGGATTGGAAAGAACAAAGACTGTAGGAAGGAGAACCAACTGCGAGATTATTGTCTCAGCTATGCAGCAGTCACGATGTTGAACCAAAATAATGACAGTAAAAGTGGCGAGAAGTGTACGGATTTTAGATAGTCAAGAGGCTGATTTGACTGGCTGAATGTGGGAGATGAGGCGGAAGAAATCTAGAAAACTTTAAAGTTTCTGGTTTGAGCCCACCGCTCAGTTAACCACTTTTTTCTCTGGGCCATCAAAGCAGTTTCTAAAAGACCCCTTTTCAGCAGATAGTATAGTACTCCACAGTAGCCAGCTGAATACGTATCTGCGCATCTCATTTACCGTTTTGGACGCTCATCCCGTGTATACTACGATGGCACAGTAAAAAAAACAAAAAAAACAAAAACAAACCCAAACCGATTGCCATGGAGTCGATTCCGACTCATAGCGACCCGACAGGACAGAGTAGAACTGCCCCATAGGGTTTCCAAGGAACGGCTGGTGGATTCGAACCGCTGGTCTTTTAGTTAGCAGCCGATCTCTTAACCACTATGCCGTCATGACTCCAGTAAGTGATCAGCAAACGTTCGGTGAGTGATTGCAACAACAGTGTCTAGAATAAAATGGTTAACCTTTTTATTTTTTCTACCTTCATGGGTGCCCTTTTACAGAGTCCTGAAAAACTCGATAACATAAAGGGCAGGGCCCTGCGTCTCATTCACACTGACGTTAAAGACCTCGTTAGGGGTTTCCAACCCTTGACTTCCCCCGAAAGTTCTTCTCCCAGCTCCTCACCTGGGGCACTGGAAGGCGACCCAGCCCAGGTGACCGTCAGGTCCGCCCCGAACACAAGCAGTCAGGTCTCAGCAGCTCTCCAGATGTTCTTCAATCGAATCTCCCGCCTCCTCTTCCGCCGGAAGTGACTTTTTGGCCGTGGTTCTTCAGAACCAATCAGAAGTAGGGGCCGCCGGGGATTTGGGTTTAGCAACGGAATCCTGCGAGCACTTGGGAGAGACCATTTCTGTTAAACTGAGGGTAGGAACAGTGGATTGGGGAATGTTGTTCCCTGACTGGTGGAGCAGTGGTGCAGTCTATAAAGTTGAGGTTAGGGTAGAGCTGCGCCAGCTGGGCGTAAGGGAGCCAAAGGAGTGGGAGCGCAATGTGGTCTGGCGGGGTAATTGGAAAGGGGAGTGGGAGTTGAGTGAAAACCTGGGGGAGGTAGGGGGGGAGGCAGGACCTGGAGCCGGCTACCCGGAGTCGGGAGAAGAAAAGGGGCGTAACCAGGATGAGGGAACGAGGACCCAGCAGGATTCCGGGGTTACTAGGGCCGGGAGTGACTCAAGGAGCGGGTACCATAGGGGATGGTTAGGATGGCGTGGAGGTGGGGTAGAAGGAGCCCGGTTTTGGGAGTCAGACCGAGCGGCCTGTGAAGCCAGGCTCTTCTTGTTAACAGAGTGACCCAGTGCAAGTCACTGCACCTCTCCCAACCTTAATTTCCTCATCTATAAATGAGAATTGCCTGGTAAAGTAGAGGGTCAGCGAAAAAGAGGAAGACCCTTAACGAGATGGATTGACACAGTGGCTGCAACAGTGGGCTCAAACATAACGATTGTGAGGATGGCACAGGACCGGCAGTATTTCCTTCTGTTATACGTAGGGTTCCTATGAGTCGGAACCAACTCAAGGGCTCCTACCGACAACAACATGAGTGGGAATAACAATCGTACCGGATGCACAAGATTGCTATGATGGCTGAGTTAGATGACATGTGTGTGCCATCATGCCTCGTGATACATCGGCGTGTGGTGAACAATGAATAATCACCGCAGCTATTATCATTACGTGAGGTTTGCAGAGGGCAGGGGTGTGGTGATAGAATTGAGGCGACTAGGACAGGGTCTGGCAGTGAGGGGGATATGGGGGGACCAGTTCGAGACGCATATTTGGTGGGAGGATCTAGGTAAGGATAGGTAGGATGTGGCCGTGAAGTAGGAAGTGCCTCTAAGGTGATAGGAGCAGACTTGCTGGGTGGCCGCAATGAAGGTGAGCTCCGAAGAGTGGACGGCACGGGAGGAAGTGTAGAGTGGAGGCAGCGCCTTCGGGACCTGGGGCTGCGTGGGTAGGGTGACGGGGTTAGGTCGGCGGCGCAGAGGGGCTGAGTGGCTTTGGGTGTCCCCGGGGAGGAGCCGGTCTGCGGCGGGCGGAGCTTCGGGCAGGGCTCCGCTCAGGCTGCGCGCGTCTGCTTGCCTCCCTCCGGCTCTTCCACCCGCACTGCAGCCGCCAGCCTGAGCCATGGGGCTCTTCTCCCTCCTGCTTCTGCTTCTGCTTCTGCTTTTGCCCCTCCTGGCGCCCGGGGCCGCCATCCCCCGATCGCCGGCCCTGAGGTCCCTCGGCCGCCTGCACTTACCAACCAGACTCACATCTCGCCCCACTGTAGCCAGGAACTACTCGATTCTCTACTTCAAACAGAAGGTAAGCGGTCGGGTAGAGCTGGAGGGTCGGGGGTGGGGACGGGGAGTGGGGTAGTTGGGGTTTTGCTGCCCTCGGTCCAACCGCCCGAACCCCAGCCCGGTAGAGCCTTGGCACCAACCCAGCTCCGGACTTCCCAAATCCTACCCGCTAACTCCCGCCCTACCCTGCAAGCCGAAATTCAGACCCCTCTAATGCCTGGGACCTGTCAGGTTTTTGGCACACACTTTCCGGAGGATGGCCTCAAGTCCCAGTTCTGTTTAAAATCTCTCCTTGCATTATCAGTAATTTAGTATCAGTCTCTGACTCCACACTCTTGATTCAGGATCTTCTGTAATGGGCCACGACAGTCTCTTGCTCCCAAAATATGCCCCAATCCAAACTCCCTTGACACCCCCCCCCCATTCAAATTATTTAATGCCAGCAATGGCCCCTACTCCAAGCTGACAGTCATCTTTTGTCCCAAGGCAACCCCTAAATACGAATTCTAATAAACTTTACCTATTAGATAATATCTAATATCTATCCAACCTAAAATGCCAGTCTGCCATCTCATGCTCACCTCAAAGTTGGTTTTGTAGACCTTTTATTGAGAGTATTTGGCCTTCCCTATTCTCTGAACAACTGAAAATATGAAACCCATGCTTGTAAAGGACGTTGTAGGTGTATGTGAAGATTTGGTGGTGGTAGTGAGGGTGGTGGGGGTTAGTGTCTCTTTGGTTCTGAACATTGAGTTTAGAGGTTTAAGGTAGGCTTGATGCTGTTGTGCTTGGCTGCAAGATTGGGTTTTCTTGGATGTGAAAGTAGACCCTGTGTGAAATGACAGAATTCCTTACAGTTCTGCATTTCTGGTAGCCTGGGTAGACGTAGGCAGAGATTTGGGAAAGGTTGGGGTTAGAAATAGTGAGAAAGCCTAAGGCTTATATTTAGGAGTCAGGCCAGAATTCCATACTGCTAGCTGTGTGACCTTGGGCAGGTTATATTACCTCTCTGAGCCCAGTTTCTTGATCTGGATTGTGGTGATGGTTAAATGAGAGCAAATAACATGTCCCCAGCAAAGTGTCTGGCTTTGAGTAGGCACTTATTAAACGCATGGTTACTGCCCTATGTGAATATTGATTGCAAATTTGGGATAGAGGGATGGCATGTACTTCTTGAATAACTTATAAGAAACCATTTCTAACACAGATGTTTGAATTAGAGTTTATGAGGAAGAGAAAGTGTTTTAATTTTAGCAGAGGCACCAGGAAATGGGTCTTTTCCTTGGGTAATTCACTTAACTCTCCTGGCCACAATTTTTGTATTTATAAATTGAAAGGTTTGGACTAGGACTAGTGTGTTTCATACTTTACTGGGGAAAATCAAGGGCTCTTTGGGGAGCTGTCTTAGAGGGACGGTGGTGAAGGCCAAAGTGGAGGCCAAGTAACGGTGCTCAAGTACTCCCACTCTCCCTGGCCCTTTTCAACCAGAGTGCTCTGCTTTATATATATATATATATATATGTATGTATATATATATATATATATATATATATATATATATATGACTGTTTTCAGGGTTTCATTGCTAAAGTAAAATTGGAGAACTGTTTGACTAAAGAATCTGTAAAATCCCTTTGGGAATGATAAGAAAGAACTATCAGCAAGAAAAGGAGAAGTATAATGGTAGAAGGGGTTGAAAGATCTGTTCGTTTCTAATTTATATCCCTTCATTGTAGGTTCTTTTCTTAGCCACTTCACTCTTTAGAAATATAGCTTAAGGCCAGTTCTTTCTCTGTTTTTTGTAATTTGCAAAATCTGTTTGTCTTTATTCAGCTATCTTTGGTCCTTTGGTTTATATTTAGGACAAATATCTTTATATTATATTTTGGGATACAGATTCCACATATGTATTTATGACTATAATAATAATTTTCCTTACATTGAGGTCTATTTCTTTTTTTTGAGAAAGATTTCCACATATGTATTTATTGCCTAATAATAGTTATGTTGCTATTTTCTGGACCATAGATTTTTAGTTGGGGCTAACTGTATAAACTCACCTTTAATTTTTTTTAGTTAGAGTACATGACTTTTAAAGTAAACTTTGTAAGACTTGGTTTTTTGTTTGAAGTTTAGTTTTTGTCAAGTTTTATGATGATCTTCTTTATCTGCAGTTATGTCTATCCGACTGACTGAGCTAATCCTAGCTTCCTCATATGCCCATGGGCTTCCTGAGCGGTCTTGGTGAAAAGGCTTGGCCCATGGCCCTTTCTTTTCCCTGCCTATAATTCCTTCCTAACTGATTGCTTGCAGGATAAAGGCCAAACTCCTTGGCATGGAATCCATTGTTCCTTACCACATGACCCCAGCTGGCCTTTTCAGCTTCATATCCTGCCACAGATCCCCCTCTCCACCTCCATACACATACATTTTTAGCAACATAGAGCACAGACCCAAGTGAATTTACTGTGTCAGAAATTCTGCCTGGAATGCTGTTCTTCTTCTCTACTTGTTTAACTTACACTTCTATCCCCAGCTCAAATATCACCTCTTCTGTGAAGCCTTCTTGACTTCTTTAGGACAATTTAGTTGGTCTTTTCTTTACCTGCACACTTACTATTTTGCTTTTTGTCCCTCCAGCTAGATAGCACTCTCCAATACTTACCTGAGCCCATAACAATTGTGAAGTTTATTGAGAGTGAATGAATAACTATCCAAAGGAAACCTAAACAAAGCAAAGATTAGTATAATTTGATTGACACAAGTCATTTTTTGTTTCTTTTCTTTCCATTCTTTACAAATTATTTTTCCTCCTTCTTCCTCAAGAGTCTTCAAATGATGATTTGATAGGGATATTTGATTTCTTTCCAATTGAATTTTATTTCATTTTTTTTTTTTGAGAAAAATTTCCACATATGTATTTATTGCCTGATTGTAGTTACATTGGTTGCCATTTTCTGGACCATAGATTTTTAGTTGGGGCTAACTGAATCAGGAGACCAGAGAAAAGATAGCACATCACTTGGATATATCAAGGCTGTAGGTACATGTGTGATGCCAGTGTTGTACAGGGCTCCCTGGGATGCATGGAATGTATTTACAGTGTTTCACTACATCTGATTCCCTCCCCTCTTGCCTTCCTTTTTAGGTGAGAAAGTAAGTCCTGAGGGCATTTACTACATGATGCAGTGGGGAAGGAACATGGTCTTTTCATACCACTGTTTTTCTCAGTGGTAATATCTACCAAGGTTGTTTTGAAGGTTAAATATGGTAACATATAAAAGCACATTCACAGTGCCTGGAACATGGTAGGAACTTAAGGAAATTAATAGAATAAATGCTAGTTTCTTCCTCACTCTGCCCTAAAACCATGTTCTCCACACAGTGGTTATACATTTCAGATTAATCCAGACATGTGGCAGTTAGGGTAATACCTCTTCTAGAAGCTAGTGGTCAGTCATCTGTACCCAACTATTCCTATTAATTACTGATTAATTCTTATATTAGAATTCTGTATCTTGGCCTTGTATTGTAAATTCAGCTCATGGCCACTGACTCCTGCCAGAGCCTTCCCACAGCTACCTACTTCCTTGTCTGCTGTGGCACTAAGCTATCTCTACATCCGTTACAGTTCTGCTTTCAATTCCTATTCTAGTTTCCCCTTTTCCACTTTAGTCACAGTGGCCCTGGTAAAAGTGGTTGTGGTTGGGCCCCTTGGAAGGACCTATGGCTGTTCTTCTCCTCCTCTTTTTATTTTATTTTTTTCCACTTCTCCGTTTATTAGTGATTCACTTGTTGATGGCTTTCCCCTTAGGCCTAGGGTATGCTCTCACAAATACGTGAATTTTGAGCTGAGTTCTATTTTTGGCAACATAGAATCATTGTTGGAGGGGTCTTAGAGATCATGTAGTTCACTCCTTAGATATGATGAATTGACCTTGATCTGAATTCTGGAGGATCAGGAAATTGATTTGGTCTTAGAGCTTGAATATGATAGCAGTGAAGAACATAGCCTTTAAAGATAAAACAGGTTTGGGATAGAATCCTGTTTCTGCCACTACCTGAGTTACTTCACACAAGTTTATTTAACCTCTCTGAGCCTCCATTTCATGATCAGTAAAATGGGGATAATTATATCATCTCACAGATTTGTTGTGAAATGAGGTGGTACGTGTAAAGTGCTTACTTAGCAGAGTGTATATCACTTAATAAACACTCAATAAATGATAAATATTAATTTTATTTTATCTTGCAGTTTGTTAATGTATATAGTTTTAATTTACCCCCCTTTCACTCAGAAAAAAATATTTAAATCATTCTTTATTATACCTAAAATACTCTATTGTTATTGCTGTTAGGTGCCATTGAGTTGGTTCTGACTCATAGTGACCCTGTGTAGAACAGAATGAAACACTGCCCGGTCCTGCGCCATCTGCACAATCTTTGTTATGCTTGAGCCCATTGTGTCAATCCATCTCGTTGAGGGTCTTCCTCTTTTTCACTGACCCTCAATTTTACCAGCCTTAATGTCCTTCTTCAGAGACTGGTCCCTCCTGATAACACATCAAAGTTCGTGAGACAAAGTTTCACTGTCCTCGCTTCTAAGGAGCATTCTGGCTGTACTTCTTCCAAGACAGAGTTGTTTGTTCTTCTGGCAGTCTGTGGTATATTATTCTAGAAAACGTAAAAATCTATGTGGACTTTTTTTCTGTTACATAAATAATACATATGTGTTTTCTTTATCAGTGGGATATGATTTCACAGGCTTGTGGCAGAGGGGTATTTATTTTTTTTCCCTCTCTAGAAGTCATTTTCTTTCACACAGAACTCTGATACATAAAGAGAGGCCTATGAAGCTTTTTTTTTTTTTTTTTAATGATACTTTGAGTTTTGGTAAAATGTGGAGGGGAAAAATACGAAAAGGATTGTATCCTTTTAGATTTTTGCAGGTACTTTCTCTTCTTTATAATAATATTAAATCTAACACTTTCTGATCACTAAGTTTTCACTGTTTTACCAGCCT